CCTTAAATATGTAATCAGATATTTATTATTTTGGAGCAAAGGATGATATACAAGAATTCAGCATTTCACTAAGTAAATTGAACCATTTGAGTCCGGTGATTTTTCTCCAAAACACAAACAATTTTGGATAGGGCAATTTCTTATCATAACTATGTAAGATTGCCTTTAATCAATGCAAGCAAAAAGAAATAATTTTATATGAAAGACTGATATTTCATGTAATCTGTTCAATGTTACAGATAAATGATGACCAAATTATTTTGTTAGTTGACCAAATTAATTTGTTCTTTTTTATTTTAGACGGGATTGAACTTTCAAAAAATTGCAGCTTCGCGATTCAGCTTATATTGAATGACAGATATATTGAAATAACTTGCATGGTCCCGAGTTTCAATATATCAGGATCAGTAGGCTCAGTATACATAAATGTGGCAATAGTTTATGGTGGGGCAAGCAAATATTCAGGTAGGGCAAGTGAATTTTAACCATGCACTTGCCCAAGGGGGGACAAGTGCCTGAAAAAATCTATTTGTCAGCTTCCCCAGTGAACCTGTGACAAATGTTGAAATTGCATTGGTTGCAAGTTCAACAACATGTATTTTACTCATAAATTATTCAAAATAAAATCCAAACAGTATACGCACATTTCTGATATTATCTACAATTGATCTGCAAAGTTAAAAAGAATCCTAATAACTTGAACCTGTAGGAAGTGTTATTCTATATAAACAGAGTCCACTTTTGGAAGCAGCCCACTTAACTCAACCCCCACATTTACACAATTTCTATAATCAGCATGCAGATTTTCTTCCTAATGGAAAGATCAGAATTAATAAAAATATATACAACTGAATATTGTCATCTCTTAAAAATGTTGAACATTGAAGGTCCATGTGCTAAAAAGTTTATAGTTTAGCAGTCATTGGTGCTTAAAACCTGAAGGTTGAAGTAATTAGCCCTGGTCCAATTGTGACTTATACATAGTGTCAGGTGGAAAAGGTGAAATGACTACTTATGCTAATTTCTCTTATATTTACTTGTTTTTAAAACTGACTATTAAAATATGTAGGAATCAGTTCAAGCAGACCAAGAAAAATCCATGTTTAATGAACATCAATAAGTTATCATTAATAAATGAATGCTAGATTGTTGATGACTTTTGAATTAACATGAGTCCACTAATGATGAAATATATTTCTAGCTATTTATTTCTTGCTGGTGATTTTTTCAAAACACAAAAAATTGTTCTAATTTAATCTTTACTCATACCTTTAATCATAATAAAGTGCAATTTTTATGTAAACACTATTTTTATGTAAACACTAAAATTAGCATGTCAAATTATTTTGTCAAAGTCCCAAATTAATGTTCTTTTTTATTTTTGACGGGTATTGAACTTTGAAAAATTGTATCAGCTTATATTGAATGAAGATATAACAAATAACAAGTTTCAATATATCACCGATCACAAATTCTGATAATTATGCAATAGTTTTTAAAATATAATAGTGCTATAATTGTTAAACCTTGCAATTTTGACAAGTCCCTATTTTGGCCCTGCCCTATGACAATGGGGTCATTAATTTTAACAAGTTCAACAATCTGCACTATCCTAAGAATGCTAAAATCCAAACAGTAACATTTCAGATATTCTGTACAATTGTTCTGCAAAGTTAAGAAATTTTTGTCTCTTCGTTTATGCATAAACAGGTCCACTTTTGTAAGGGGCCCACTTAACTGAAAACCCCACATTTACACAATTTTATAATCAGATTTTCATTCCTAAAGGAAAGCTCAGAATTAATAATATATAAACTGAAGTATTGTCACATGTATACATAAATGTTAGAACATTGAAGGTCCATGCTCAAGTTTATATTAGTCATTATATTAAAACCTGAAGGTTCTATGTGTGACTTATAGCAGTCCACTAGTGTCATGGAAAAGGTGAAATGATACTTAAATTTCTCTTATTTTACTTGTTTTTAAAATTGCACTATTAAAATATGTAGCTAACAAGAGGCCCAATAAAAATTGCTTAATGATCAATGTTATCATTAATAAAAATGCACAGATTGTTCATGATCTACAAACTGAAACGTAAACCCTGAATATATTTCTAGCTATTTATTTCTTGCTGGGTAGTTCAATGCTATTCTAATTTAATCTTTACTCATACTTTAACCATAATAAAGTGCAATGTTTTGTAATCAATTATTTTTATGAAACCTAAAATTAGCAGTCTTTCCTCAAAGTCCCAATGGTTCGATTAAAATGTATAGAGAAGAAAACAAATAACAAGAGTTCACCGATCACAAATTCTGATAATTAGATATTTTAAAATATATATGCTATAATTGTTAAACCTTGAATTTTGATTCCCATTTTGGCCCTGCCCTACCCCTGGGGGTCTTTATTTTAACAAACTTGAAACAACACTACCTGTGGATGATGCCTTATAAATATGTTCAATTATGGCTTTGCAATTCTTGAGATGAAGATTTTTAAAAATGCCATTAATTTTTCTTCTTCATAATTATCTCCCCTTCTTGGCCCTTCATTGAAAAACCCCCATTCACAAGATATTAAGCAGACAACATTTGGTCTACCGACATTGGACCTTGAGAAGAAGATGAAAATGTGATCAAAGTTATATATAAACAATACGACAGTTCTAACTGACAAATTCCAATCAGAAAAATCACTTTTCTTTTAAAATCACTAAAATAAAAAAAATTGCAATTTTATAGTGTCCAAAGACCTCACGCCTCTCAAAGTAGGTGAATGCTATAAATAAATTTTCTCAACTGGATGGGAAAAGCTTTTTATATAAATAAAGAATCTCTGGTTCAAAAGACGGCATACAGGAGTTATCTTTCTTAGTATCTAAGAATTCATAATAGTTTTTAGATATTGTAAAAATCAATAAATCATACAAGAGAATATATGCCATTAAAGCTTTCCCTTGTCCTTTGAAGTGAATTTAAAAAACAAAAGGCTTTAATGAGTCTATATTCAGCTGAAGATCCTCTGAACCGAGTAGCTCAGAATCATAATTCAAAGCCAGGTCCTTTGTGCTGCAGGTATTGAACTCTTCGATGTGTGCTTATGAAGTACACTTTAATAAAATTTTTATGTCATTTGTTGCTTGCATGCATTAGTGTTAAGTCAGTGAGACTGAGACAAATGAAGCTCGAGATAAGCACCGAGATTTTATCAAATAAAAAACAAAGCCAATTTGATTACATCATTGGGGGACTGAACTGATTGGTTTTAAACTTTAATTTGTTTTTACATTGATTTATCAATATGGGAATGCTTTGTGAAGTGACATTTTCCTTTATTTATCTTAGTTTTCCCACATGAGACGCACTTTTCATTTGAGTTCCTGCACAGGAACATTATGACAAATGCACCTTTAAACATAGAATTAAAATCAAAAGGGCATTGTTATTGGTGAATCTTTATCTTTGATGATCCTTGTAAAACTCGTGGCAAGCAGTTAATTTATAGGTGAATGCTGCATATAAAATGGTTTCAGAAATCGAACACATTTTCAGCGACAATAAAACACAAATTTAATTTACATTTTTAATGCTTGCAATTTTTACATATTTTATTTTTACAAAATAAAAAACAGAAATGAAACCTTAATCAAAGAGCAAGCTGCCGCTTAAAGGTGTGACATACAGGCATCCACTGCGTAAAAGATGACAGATAAATTGCTATTTTCAATTAATTTTAGAATACGCTATAATCCTTTCTCTCTGTCTGCTAACATAAGATAATCCCCTACTCCATTATTATTCTAAATCTAGATCCTTTTAGTGTAAGAAGGTTAGCTGACTAATTCAAATTGGATAATCATGTTAGATGTTTTCAGAGGGAAAAAATTACTGCATCCAAGTAAAGGGATGACATTCTGAATTGCGACAAAATAAACGTTTGCACATTCAAGGGCTTCAATCAAGCAAACTTATCATATTAAATACTCCAAATGCATATCAGATATACTTTAAAGCTGGGTATCAGATATTTGATGGTAAATTTCCATTATTTTGTCAAATGAATTCTGCACAGAGACTCATCTACATAACAACCATCTCTATTTGTGAATATATCTACCAGTAGGAACTTAAATGTCCTATTTTTGTACACTGACAATATGGTTAATATCAAAATTAATACATTTTGAACAATAGTTCTTATCTGAACATGATTTTTTCTCAAGAAGTTCTCTATATTATAGTATATGTCAAAAGAATTAAGACAACAGATAACAAGATTCCTTTATTAAAAGTTCTGTGAGTAACATTCAGTTTGCAGTATTAACAAAATGATACAGCATTACTGTACTCAGGGTAATCTCTATGGAAGATGTGTAGCCCTTCATATGCATGAACACATCTGAATCGGTTTTACCAAACGTTACTTTGTAGAAAGTTTGTTTGGATTGATCAAGTGATTCTAGAGATCACATGTAAAAAGTTACAGATGGACAGATGGACCTCTAAATAGACACACAGTTAGATAGAGACACAAGGGTACAACAGTAACTCCCTCTATAAAAAGTTACAGACAAACAGATGGACAGACACACAGATAGATAGAAACACAAAGTAAAACAGTAACTCCCTCTATAAAAAATTACAGACAGACAGATGGACAGACACACAGATAGATAGAAACACAAGGTAAAACAGTAACTCCCTCTATAAATAGTTACAGACAAACAGATGGACAGACACACAGATAGATAGAAACACAAGGTAAAACAGTAACTCCCTCTATAAATAGTTACAGACAGACAGATAGACAGACATACAGCTACCAGACAGCAGAGGATCAGAAAAGTTTGAGATTATACAGCTCAGACTATTAAGCTAATACAAGCAAAATAACCATCGTCAAACTAGCATCCAATTATTTTTTTTTTCATTGCATTTTGGCCTTTATATAAGACCTACTTGTTAATGAATTCTGAACATGATGTAAAGACAGAAAAAATTATGTTCTAATTATATCTTTTTCTGATGCATGGAACATAAGAGCCTAGGTCAGAAATTTTCTGTGAAGTTCTATTCAATTACCCCTCCTTGCTACTAAATCATTGCTCTTGGAACAGGAAGGGGTTTGTTGTGGGTAATAAAATACGACAATAGAGTACTTTTGCCAGTCAATCACATTTTCTGCTCAGTGACTATTATGAGATGAGCTGCTGTGATTGACAGTTGAAGTGTGCCCCGTTAATTCTGTAGAAAGATGTGATACGCAGGTCTCCATATAAAATCTCTTCATTTTAATATTGATCATGCTGAACTCTCTCTTCATAAAACAAAAGGCTGCACAAGGGACAGGGGACTGCATTTCTGTTTCATTAAGTAAGTACTCAGTTGTTTTACATAGATTTTATATGTCGAATTTCATGTGCCTCAAATAAGCAATAGATAAATTTGACATCTAAATGAACAGTTATATTTGCAATTGGTGGAATTTTTTTAAAAAGTCAAATTTCCATATTCAACTGTTAAAATCAGAATCCAATAAGATTAAATTTACATAATAAATACTAAAGATATTAGATGTGTCATCAGTAGTTGAAAATTTCTATAAATATAACCTAGATAATGTTCAAATTAAATTTATTGAAAAACCTCTTCATATTGCATCTTAAAGAACAAATGTTGCATTAGCTCAGCATTAAATGTTAATACTTTTATATGCAGTATTTTTTCTTAAATTGGGATAAAGGTATTGGGAGGGGGAGGTTGTTAATTTCAATTTCCCCCCTTTTTGTGTGTGTATGGGGGGTGTCTGTTTCATTTCTTTTTTTTTTTAAGAGAGGTCTTAATTTAGGAGGACCTGCTTTTAGGGAGGGTTCATTTTTAATTTATGTATTAAATTTCATTTCTTAGTGAAGGATGGTTCATGTGGGTGGTTTGGGGTTTATGTGGAAGGAAAGATGTTTACAATTTGTTCTGGTTATTGCAGACTTTTCATTTTGTTTCTTAAAAATTTTTTTCCAAAGCCCTTTGCAAGCCGTCGGAATGCTCATTTCAAGGAGATCAGCATTACAAATCCTATACAAAAACAATGTATTAAACTGTGTTCTAAAGATAACATTTCGCACAAATGATTTAAACATATTTTTTATTCAATCTAGAAAAAAAATTACATCCCTAAATCTTCATTATGAAAAATCTCACACAAAATGTTTGGAAAGCTACATTTGCCACAAATATGACCTCTAACTTAGCAAGTATTTCTGTAAATGATTAGATACTTACATAACTGCCACAATTGCTCATGCACTTAGTCAACTTCTTGTAAATGCTTAGATACTAAATATAGCTGCTAAAATTGCTCACTCAATAGTCAAATTTTTGCAAATGCTTTGATTCTTCATTTGTCACATTAGCGCCAATTGTTCAAGTCTCCATGTCTTGCTTATGGACCAAAATTACAATAGTTCAACATTTCAAGTCATTTTTTTAACGTGACAGCATTCTAATCGGGGGCTTTCTCTTCTTACTCTTTATTTCCCATAAGCCTACGTTTAATTACCAATATTCTGAATTTGCAAAATGAATTCAATCAGAAATATCTGGAATCCAAAAATGTTTTGAGAACATTTTTACCCCATGGAAATTGTAAACTTTTGAATATAATTCTAACTGATTCAAGAATTCAATTAAACCAGGAATAAAATCTTTTCAAATTATTAAACTAGAGGTATACTCACATTGAGCACTAAGATCACTAACTAATACCCCAGTCTCCCAATATATATGATTATATTGACAAAGTCCATATTTTGCTCTGGGAGACCCACAACAAGAGGCCCAGCCACATTGCTCACCTGAGCATTGGCTAGGAAAAAAGCAACAAATCGCTTTAGTATTGAAAAGCTTAGTGCATAAGAGGGAGAATGATTTGAACAAAATTGAATCTACAATAACTAAGGATGCTTACATATTTTTTGACGGACTTTTTTGTTACAATTGTTTTATAATGTGGCCCCATCCTACCCCTGGGGGTCATGATTAGAACAAACTTGAGTCTACACTACCTGAGGATGCTTCCACATGAGTTTCACCTTTCCTGGCCCAGTGGTTCTTCATCAGAAGTATTTAAAAGACGCTATTAGTTTTTAATCCCCTTGGAAGAGGTTGTGGCCCTTCATTTAACAAAACTTGATTCTCCTTAAGCTAAGGATACTTTGTGGTAAGTTTGGTTGAAACTAGCACAGTCTTTCTTGAGAAGGAGATGAAAATGTGAAAAGAGATGAAAATGCATAAAAGTAAAAGTATCATTAAATTTTATTACGATACCCTTCACTAATCTAGGATGAATAACATGTACATGTTTTGCTATGGGAAATCCAAAATTAATAACATGCTCTGTTCACACAACAGACAAACTTTGATCAGAAAAGCTTGCTTAAGACCCAGGTGAGCTAATAAGTGTCTGATCAAAAAGTGAAATAGATGGTGCATAAAAGCACTATGTGATAGTATCATTAAATCTTATTCATCGGTATAGGAAGAGTTGGGGATAAGAGATGGATACCCTTCACTAATCTAGGATGAATAACAGTGTACATGTTTTGCTATGGGAAATCCAAAATTAATAATGTGTCGGGTTAAAAATAATGCTCTGTTCACAAGGAGAGTTTAATTCAAGGTAAATTAATGCAAAGTAAAACAAGAGGCCAACAGGCCTTAAAGGTCACCTGCGAAATTCACAATTATGAAAGAGGCATCATTTCTTATCATAACTATACACTTAGCATGCTTGCTTTGTTTACTTTATACCCTGAGGTAGATCAGAGTAACAAATACAAAATGCATTTCCACTTTATAACCAGTTGTGCACCCCATGCCACAGGAAAAAATTACCCTGGGGCCAAAATCTTGGAAATTTTATTAAAAATTTTATTTCATCATAAATTGTTGATTAATACCAAAGTGCAGATTTCAAAGCATTCATTTATTTTCAGACTATGTAACCCCCCCTCCCCCTCCAAGAACCTCTGACCCAGGGGTCCGGAAATTAACCATTTTGGAAGAGGCAGCTTTCTTCATCATAAATATATACTTAGATCATTGGCATAATACCCAGGAACAAAGGAAAAGATTTTCAAAGAATTCATGCATTTTCACTATATAAACATTAGAGCTTCCCCCCAACACAAGAAGCCCTGACCCAGGGGGCCTGAAATTTCACAAATCTCAAAGAAGCATCCTTCCTCCTCATATCTATATACATAGTTCATTGGTTTAATACTCAGGTGCAGAAAAGAAGATTTTTTAAGAAATTATGCATTTTCAAGATATAATCAATAACCACACCCTAACACCAGAACACCAAACCCAGGGGCCATGAAATTCACAATTTTGGAAGAAGCAGCCTTATTCAACATAACTATGTACTTGGTTAGTTTATTTAATACTCAGGGGGCAGGGACCATGAAATTCACAATTTTTGTTCCCCTTCACCCATGGATACTATATGCCAAAATTGGTTGAATTGGTTCAGCGGTTTCAGAGAAGAAGCTGAAAATGTTCAAATGTTAACGCATGACCAACAGCGAATGACAAACAACGAACGACCACAGACAAAAACGGATAGCAGTAGGTCACCTGAGTTTACTCAGGTAACCTAATAATGCATCTGAAATTACATGCGAATCAAATTGCATTCACACCACAGCTAAAGCAAAGTCAACTGATGCGAATTAAAGTTTTATTTCTACAATAAGGCTATTCAGTGAGGCAATTATGACATCAATTAAAAATCACATCATGTATGCAGAGCAGATCCATTTGACACAATCATCAAAGTTACTGCATTTTTTGTACATAGTTTAGTAATTAACATAATTTTCCAATTCTGGCCTTGCGCATGTGTCAAAATTTAATTTGAATTAGCTTCACTTAGCGATCACACAGAGCTAATGCGAAGTAATTTAATGTGCAGTAAATTTGTTCGAATTCAATTAACTCGCATTAAATTCTACGTGTGAACGCCATTCAAATTTGAATTGCTGTAACTTAACGTTTAATTTAAATTAAATTCTCCGTGTTAACAGGGCATAAAATAAGTAGTGCACAGTGGCACTATGTAAGAAAGATTCTGTGAAAGTATCATTAAATTCATTCAGTGGTACTAGAGGAGTTGCAAATAAGAGATAGATACCCTAAAACGTAATAGACAGACGGACATCCCAATCACTATTATACCCTCCCACTTTTCAAGTGGTGGGTATAATCAAGCTTTATAATGACTACAGTAAAAATTTTTTATCCAGAAACAACCGAGATTTAAGAAAATATTGGTATGCATGTTCATCACGGAAGTCATGTTTAACCTAAATCATTTTTTTTAATCAGCCTACGCGGAAAACCTCCTCCAACACCCCTGGGAAGTTTTATAAATCTTCCTTGATACACTATTAATTCCATTCATACCCAGAGGATCAGCCATATCCTACCACTGTCCTACTGCAGGAATTTTTCATGATCAACTTTTCCGTTAAGGATTTAACATACTACCATTAAAAACTCATTCAGGAAGACATGACTTGCAAAGTTAGCCAATAAAAGTTAAAATGATTTTAAATTCCATTGAATATTCTTTGATTTTGTGATCATTTCCTGTCTAATTTATTGTAAGAAACAATTCATTTTTAACTTATGTAACAATACTGCCACCAGTATTACCTTTTTCATACATATGCAGCCATGAAAGTTGCATGAGTGAGTACAAAAAACAGGGAAGTGTCCAGGAAGTTTTGTAATACAGTGTCAATCTGATTAATTCATACCATTTTGGAATATCTGATCAATTCATTTCAGCATGGAATTTATAATTTTGAATGTCCTCAGTTGTATGTGTGCATCTGGCATATATATGTTAAGGATTCCAAATTGCAATGGGACTCCAAAGTCAGATGGTCACACCAAAGTGTGATGGCCTATGCCAAAGCCTGATGGTTTGACACGCCAAACCCCAATGGTGCTGAAAACTAGGGGTGGGACAATATACCGATACACCGATACATACCGATATTTTCCTCTAAGATACGGTTTACGATACAAGCATTCAAATATCGGTAGGAAACGATACACAAACGACCTATCCAAAAATTGAAAATGAAAGTACCTGTCCTTGAAAAATGGCAGCTTGTACGAAGCGAAGAGATGATGTTGATATTGAAAACACACTGTAGACATTAATAAGTCGTTGATAAGGGGTAAATCGTTTTCACTTTAAGCAACCTCGGATGATTGGACAAGAACAGTTCAGTATGTTAAGCGTGCTATACACAGAAAGTATCGTTTCCCAAACATTTGATTTGTAAGCTAGTCCATCTCGTACT